ATTCCACTCGTTTAAACATATTCTTATATAACATGACTAAGAAAATCAATTAAATTATTATGAATAAATACTATTTTATTTTTTATTTATTTATATTATCACGCCTTTCCCATTCATAGTCCTAATATAATATACTTTAAACTTGTCCCTTCTCCAGTACCTCCAGGATTTGGTCTTCGGAAGGCCTACCCAACCCGACTTCACCATCCACGGTTGCCTTGTATATTATACTTGTTAACCGCTTCTCATTCATCCGTTCTACATGGCCAAACCTAAGCATTCCCCACTTCTTTTCTTTTCTTCTTCTTGTTACTTTTCTGTGTATCATTTTTGTTTAGCTTATAGGCTTTTTTATGTTACAAGAGGACCATGGACACTCGCAATTCCAGAGGCTCTGAAGAAACACTCAGTTATGGAAAAGCTCACCCAAAACTTTGTGTGTGCGCCACTTAGAATTAAATAATTAAAAAAACCTAAGCATTCCATTTCGTATCCTTGTTACTAAGAAAAACTAAACCCTAAACAAATTATTAAACACATATAATAGTAATCAAAAATAGAATAATATCACTGAGCAAAATAATACTATATCTTTCGCATCAGTCCTTAATATCTGGTATGTCATATTAGTCAAAAATAAAAGACATGTGTCACTTGTCAATAAACACGTATGTCTATGATACTTGTTCCGCTGTCTATACTATTAACATAAAACTGTAATGACAATGTATCTTTGTTAAAAACGTAACAGTTTTTACGCTTTTTGGAATCCCAATTGTCTGTCAACAGCAACGTATTTATAACAATTACATCGAATTGTTGTTAATTGTTTACAATTGAAAACAATTTTCCAATTTACCGCCTTTTGTTTATGGGTCCTCGAACTGGAGCATAGACAAAAAACAGTTGCAACATGACAAATAGTAAGTGAAAAGTCTGTAGCTAGTGGGTTTTATTAGCGTCTTACAATTTTTTTTGTAGTCAAGAAATTTAAGGTTCTATTTATTTCGCAATGCAACAGCTAACAAATTATATACAACAAAAAACTAAACTAAACATATAGCCAAAGATGGAATACATAATATATACAAAAAGGTTCAAATTATTCAATGCGTAATACCTAATTCGGCTGTGATTTGTGATGGTGTGAAAGAGAGGGTATGTACGTGTGGTGTATGTGGGGTGTGCTCATGATGCAGGTGATTCAGCGCTATGGATATTCTTAATTCCTTCAAAGCATATTCCGCGATAGCTTAAACAAGTCGAGGCTTAAATAGCGGTCGTTGTATGTCCGGGGTGTTCATATCAGTAACGTTTAACATTTACGAAATTTGATTCTGTCGTTCATTTTTAAAAATCGAACTCGTTGATTAAAAAATAAATCCATAGACAAAAAAGAGGACAACAAAGCGGCCCGCTGAAGTCAAGTGTCAAGAAAAAAAAGCTCATTTGTGACCGGTGGATGTCAGAGAGATGATGATGGATGGACGCTACCGTTCTTTAATTTGTCGGAATGAGGCGATGTGACGAATCGCTGGCTGCTCATTTCTAGGACCCTTCGGTGATTTACTTGTAATAGACGAGTTGACGACGTACAAGTATGTATTAAATTGACCACTATATATATATTTTTGTAGATTAAACATATATATAACTAGTTTTTTTACTGGTAATAGTAGATAATGTGTACTATATTTTATTAATAACTGTTCTAATGCACGCGAAACGTCGAATTACGTTAAACATTATCAGTGGCGCTAGAACCTTTTTAGGTCTGGGCCTCAGATTTCTGTATCTGTTTCACGATCATTTGTCAGTCTAATAGGCAAGAAGCCTCCTCTGACTGACACAGGCTGCAGATTTTTTGGGTTTAAGGCAAGGTTTCATCACGATGTATTCCTTCGTACGAGCGAATGTTAAATGCGCATACCTATAGAAAGTACATTGGTGAACCTACGACCTCAGGGACGAGAGTCGCACGCTCAAGCCACTAGGCCAACACTGCCCTACGTCAATAATATAAGACATATTATATTTAATGTATCTTTAAAAGTACCATTTGGGTCACAGAATAGTAAATTGAAGGGGCATTGTATATATAGCTTCTACATAGAGTATAGAACAAAGGCATCACGACTGTCAGTGAGTCACAGAGCCCGACAAAAGCTACCACTTTAACAGAAGCCGATATTTTTTATCTCAATTTTTTCAATTGTCTTTGAAGTGCCATGTCATGGGATTTGACGAGCTGCCATTGGCCGAACGGTAAGTATTGACGGCCAATCAGGCTCTTGATTTCGAAATTCGAAAGTCATCTTTCCTAACTGTTGATGACTTGCGCTATCTCTATGTACACGATAATGTATCAGTCCCTTTACAAAACCAAATGCGTGTTTTAATCCAAAATTTGGATCGTTAAAGCTTTCTAACTGTTAACCGTAAAACTGTGGACTGAATTGCCAAAAAAATACAGCTCCACTGTTTTTAAAAGAAATTAATTCAACATGTCTTCATAAAATTGTATAATTACGTAAATGACTTAATAAATAGATAGATATTGTCTCTATAAAATATTTTAATAAACGCGTGTGAAAGTTATTTTTCTAATCCGATCTTGAACGCTTCCAAGATTGCTTCATTAGCACAGATTATAAGAAAATATTATGTTTGTATAATGTGTAACAATGGATCATAAATATCACAGACTAACTAAGATTTATTGTCTGTTATAAAAAGTTATCTTTTATCTGTGGCGTAAAGTTGATTCTCTATTTAAATCGGATTGATGAGTGTCAGAAAGGGACGGATACAATTCTAATATTTTCAATTTAATGAGGAATCGAATTGAAATAGGAAACAGATAGTGATGTGACGCAAAGTTTGTTTCCAATTTTCCTCATACAGTAATTAACTAGTTCTTTTATTGCTTTTATAACATCAATGAAAAATTACAATTTCTTAATAGTTTATTAATAATTCATAGATTTCTTAGTAAAAAATGTACTAAATGTGTTTGAAAATGAATTATTTTAAATATAAATTACCCATTTTAATATCAAATTAGCGTAAAAATAGTTTAGTGTCAATCGAATTAACAAATCACATTTATCGATAAGTATCCCTTTCTATCACATCTCTATCGATGTGGGATGATCAAAGAATACATGCGTGAGAAATATAAAACTTCAGATTACTTTTATATAAGAAATAAGAATAAATAGAAGTCACACTCATACTTCTTGCATATAAATATGGTAGAACAATAGGATTGCAAATAAGTAATAACTGTCAAAGGTATAAATATTGTCGTTATCTGTGCAATTACATTGTAAAGCATTTTTCTAACAATTCTATGTATTATCTATAACAGATGATACACGCAAATAATATTCCATTTGCAAATCAAAATAAATAAATTCTATTGATTAGTATTCTTAAAAATATTGAAACACTCGATCTCACACGCAAGCCGTAGGAGACGATTATTCATTCTACACGGTGACACATAACGAATCAATCCGTCATGAAGAAATCCAATCGAATTGCCGCGCTTCGCCGCGAAAAATACTCTATACTCTATGACTGTCATAACAAAAATGGAATGTCCTTGGTTTTTTATTTGTTCTATTTTCAAAAAATTCTTTCAAAATCATAGGACTTCAATATTTAAACGTTTATATGAAACCTTTTTAGTTCATAATAAAACACGAGCACTGCATATTCAACGGATTTTAAATACAATAGTATTGGACAGCAGTTGTGGATCCGGAAGTCAATTTAAATACCTGGTAGGGTTATTTTTTTTAAACGCAATTTAATGCTATTTAAATGCAAGCATCCCCAAAATGCAATTGTGAGTTTTAAACGTTAAAAATATAAATAAAAAATTACAATCGCTACATTGTAATTTTCCCGCCTTAAATATTGTCTATTGGAGGCTAAAAAATAAAACTAAGCACATATGAAACCGCACTGTCACAGATAACAAAAAACTTGTAATTATACCTCTCTAATCTGTACTACTGCATGTCAGGCGAACAGTGAAGCAAATTAGGACTTTAACCCAAGTGAATAAGGCGGCCATTAAATCGTATAAGAATTTGTACAATCAAACATCAGTCAGATAATTTCAAATCTTATTCCAAAGAAACACAGTCCATTTTGCATAATTAAGTAGAAAAAAACACCAGTGAATGGTACATACGTTTAATTGTTAGGTTTGTGACATAATTACTATGTAGCCGTGTTGTCTGATTTTTTTTATCATTTAAAATGCTAGTCACGTGTGAGGCTTTCGAATTGTAGAAAAGGCGATAAAAAGGGACAATTTATATTCTGTATTTCGATATTTTAGAATATAATAAGTAGTTAATATGTCCCGACATTTTTTAAAAATAATATTCACAGCATTTAAGAAACAACAATAGTCGTTTAAGGTCTTTTATATTGCTTTTTTTTGAAGTGAAACTTGTTTAGGGTGAGGGTAAAAATTTTACGGATACGTCACGAAGATGTGCAGCGTTTTTGTCGAATAAAAGGAAGAGAGCGATTGAGAAAGAGTGAGAAGGGTGAATTAACTTATAGAAATTCTATTTTTAAAATAAAAATTTCGTAAAGAGAATGTATGAAATATTAGTATTTTATATTTTATGCAAAATAATGTATTTAAATTTGAAATTGTAAATTAAAATGCCACGTGTTTTTATTATCACAGAAATACATTTTAAAAATTAAATTTATTATTTGTATTAGTTTTCGACACTTTCAATATTTTAATGACAATTAAAATCATTAAATTCCTTACATATCATCCTTTTTCCCTCCCTCTAAGTCTCGGAAATCTAAAGTTTTAGATTTGTATAAATATGAACAAGACTTAATTAGTTTGCTAAAGAAGTTTCACTTCTGACATGTGTACTTTGTATGCACGCACTTTTTTTTAAATAATATTCACAGCATAATACAACAATATCCTTTTAAGGACTTTTATATTGTTTTTTTTATTGTAAGCCACTTACCTGTGTCTGCGTTAATCCTAAGCTAGCCGCGAGCTCTGCTCTCTCTGGTAGTGCCAGGTACTGCGTTCTTTGAAACCTCCTATTTAGTTGCTGAAGCTGAAGACTGGAGTAGATGGTGCGCGGTTTTCTCATCTTCTTGCCCTTTCCATTTACCCTTAAACCCGGGTCATCGGAAAGGCCACATTTTTCTGCAAAATATATCGACCCATAAGTTTTTTTTTAATAAAAATAAAATAAATCAGCTACAATTCGCTACAACCTTTTTAGGTCTGAGCCTGAGATTTATGTATGTGTTTCACGATAATTTATCATTCTAATAGGCAAGGAGGTGATCAGCCTTCTGTGCTGTAACCACTTTTCGAACACACGCCATCGGCTTTTTGGGTCTGTACGGCAAGTCTTTCTTGTTTGGCATTCTGATAACGGGGACTTGTAGTTTATTGTTTATCAGAATGCCAAATCATAAAAACCTTCACGACTGATTTGAGGCGACCGACGGATGCGACCGCTGTGTGAGTTCGAAAAGTGAGTACAGATCGCGGGCCGACACACGCCACGACCAGCCTACGGCAAGTTGAATTGCCAACGATGTTTTCCTTCCTTTCGACGACCTCGGTATAAACACACTGAACCAACACTTCTTTAACTAAACACACTTATATTATTCTCAAATGCATGCATCATAAATCAGTGCGCGCTGAACGATGCAATAAATTCACAATATAAATACGAGTGCATCGTAAAATATAAGACCGCTACTTGATAATAGTCAGTGGTAAGTTGTAATTATTGGTATCAGATCGACCGCGCTGTGCCACTTGGCTCAAGGACACTCGAGTTCGATATTTAAATTTTGAAGAGCCTCATTCTGTCAAATGGGGTGCAAATTGTCACTTGTAAACTTTTAGATGGAGAATAGAGTGAAGTACATCTGTCAAATGACAATTCGGCCTTACGAAAGCCAAAAATTTATCAGTAATTGTAGAGTAAAACACATTTTGTATGAAAATCAAGGTTTATAATTTACCGAAAACATTCAAATATCTTAGGGTTTCTAAAAATTGAGTTGAATTGAATGACAAATTCATTTGAAGTGATGTACTATGTAGAATTCTACCTTTTAAGAAAAATTTGTACGCTATTGTGTGGCAGAATGTGATGTTTAGATTGTACCATATTCTTGCAAATCAATTATTATTATTCATTTGGTAGATCTTTGAAGCCTTCTAAAAAAAAATACAAAGGCAATAAACCTTCTTTGCCTAATCTGTTTTCGGTCTAAGTGTCAAAAATGTATTGAATTTTAACAGCAGTCATAATCTGTGCTATTCTCATCCATTGCCGGTTATCTTACGATTTATAGAGCATTAATCACGCTAAAATTTATATTTCCATAAACTATAGCGTGTACGAAACTGTTTGTTTAGCACAAATAATAGTTTTCGTACAATAGTCTTTATTTATTACGACGTAATATGAACCTCATTCTTGACATTTATTGGCAAAGGGTTGAATGAAGTGAAGGGTGTAGAGATACTACATTACTTTTCTCTTTCATTACAGACTTTAATATTATGTAATAAGGTGTATTTTGCAATGCACGTTGTAGCCCCAAAGTAGAAATACAGATATCCTACATTAAAGATGGCTATTATGTGGCTGTTTGCCGCGGTTTTGGTCAATTCGGTCGTAACATCGGTCGGACTGTAGAGACATCATATTGTATATTCTTATTAGAATGATTAGCTCTAACATTATCTACAGATTTGTAATATTAAAATAAATTATTTATTTTGGCAAATCTAGCTTTTATTTGAATTAAGTAAATTTAGCTCTGGGTGCTGTCAAAAATGCAAAGCTTCACAGAGAAATGGTTGAATAGATCTTGACATGAGATTTGAATCTTATTTATGTCTTTGCTGTTTTTATAAGATTAAATAATCGTACTCAGAGTCTGCCATTATATTTATCTAATGGTACATTACTTAACAACGGTGGAATACTATGACGAAATGTTATGCCCGAACTAAAAAATATAACGATTCCAAGGATTATAGAGGCTAAGCACAAACTATGTCTCGTACTTAGTCTTGACTCTGAATCTTAATACCTACGCGTGTTTGTCTATACGATTTCTAAATTCAAACAAGACTGGTGTAAATCAATCTAAGCCCCTATGTTTCCCATGCGCACATCAGACCGACAGACGAAACAATGCGAGGCCTGAGGTACCGCCACACCCCGCTAGTGATGCCACTTGTCGATGAATAGAACTTTTTTCAAATTCAAATAAAGAATTTTTAGCTATACATTACGTATCCGCTTTCAATATTTGCTATAGAATTATTTGTACATAATTGTTTAAATTATATTTTCTTTTATTTGTAAATTGTCAGACAGTGACAGAAGATATATTGATAGAAGATTAAATATGGTTTCATAGATAAACAATTATTAATAAGTAAAATGTTGCCATCTACAAATATCAAAGGTGTAGTAGAAACTTTAATACCTAAATTAATTAAATTTCTTTTAAAGGCGGTTTAAGTAGGAACAGAGTACTCGGATGAATAGGTACATTCACTACCGTACTTTATATAATTTAAGGCCTGCGCAAGAGTTCCGATAATTATAATCCGAGAGTTAACTGTCATGGTTAAACGGACAAAGCGTTTTTTCGATTTAATTGATTCAGTACATTCGTAATAGGTATCAAATTTATCGAACTCGACATCTTATATGATGTACTGTCCATAAAGCCTTTTTAAAGAGGAGAAATTCATTCACAGAGATAAATATATGTTGATGTTCATGATGGGACTGAACATGGGGAGAACCAAGGATGAAGAGGTAGACTACAAAAATGGTCGTAACGCTGTAAAGTGAAACTTGGTGACGGATGGTAAAGAATGGGGTATTCTGGAAGCCTTTGGAGGTTTGACCGGAATTATGGTTTATTTCCTATGTATTATTGTTTTTAATAAATAGGTTTTTTTTATTTTAGGGCACCCTGAGTGCAGTGACCTAAGGTGTGATTTACGTCAGTTCCTATACTGTAAGAAATAGAATTTTTTGATAATATTTTTATCTATACCTACTTGTTGTTTTTTCCTGTGTATGTTCTGTATGTGATGTAAATGTAAATAGTTACCACATTGGAGGAATTTGTAATGGAAGTTTATATTTTTAAATAAATCAAAAACTCTATGGTTTTGGGAGTTCTGAGCGGCGGAGGGGGGGGAATTTCTCTGCCCCTTCAAGTTACACAAGGGCCTTGCCTACGTTCTTTTCAGCCTGGAAAGCAATGACCTGATAACTCTTACAAAACACAGCTAAACTGAACCTTCCTGATAGAAACACAGGCACTGTCCTTTGGAATTGGATATTCTGGCTTCTTAAGAAGATTTCCCGACATTTTGCTAACGCTAGAATTGTCTCCATATAAAGTGTATTTTGGAAATTATTTCAATATTTTAAAATCAGCTTTTATACAAAAAATAATACAGCATTTGCATCTTTAAAACTGCGATTTGAATCTTATTCGAGCTTCGTACGGCTGATTTTTGTTGGCCCATGGCCTATGTTAGTGAGGAATTTTGATGCTGAAATATATTTTTAATTATTTCAGTAGTTTTTGAGAATATTAGTTACACAGACACAAATCTTTCCTCGTTAAAATACCAATAAGTACAGAAAAACAATATGTTTAGTGTGTAACAGTTTAACAGTAGCTACTGTTCTTAAAAATATTAAAACATAAATAATACGACCCATTTTCCAAGTATTCCTTTGCAACGCAATGAATGGGACAAAAACTGAAATCGTAATGACATTAAGCGACGACACAAAATGTGTCTGTTTAACACAAGTTTTTCATGTATCTGTCAACGTGTCACATAAAAATGCTGTATAAATCTAATTACATACAATTATATAATGAATTATGTATTATGATAATGCAACGTATAAGGTCATTATATTAAAAGTTCAGTTAATCCATGAATTACTTTTTGTTTTACTATCGATACGTTATTCTATTATAATCTTTTTTCCGCTTCCGGTGTTTAATTGTTGGGGGGGTGTTGCGAAATCCACTTTTTATTATGGAGATAATTTTGCTAGATTTTATGGGTTATAAACATTTCTGGTTAAGTGGTAACTGCCGCGCACTTAAACCGGTGCAGTAATTGATTAAATTAATATCCCTTTAAAATCATTTAAGTGCTTTGATAGAGTTGAAAATAAAGGTTTTAACCGTCTTTACCTCCCGCCTTACCACCCTCGGACAAGCGCCAAAGCTGGCGAGTCCGGAGACTCAAATACTTTTTACCCTTTGAAGTACATCCAGTACTACAAAATACCATCTGTCCTCGACGTCAGTCGTTCCACAACTGAGCGTTTTAAAGGCAGTTTTTGCCACGCATCACCACTATATGGAACCAGCTGCCCACTAAAGAATTTCCGAATCGACTTAGGGTCCTTCAAGAAAAGAGCGAGCCACTTGCGAGCCTCCTGCAACTTTCTCTCCTAGTAAACGCCAGCATAAAAGGTACACTGCCACAGGGACCCAACTTTTAAATTTGTTTTAATTTTCTATTCATAATTTTTAATAATTATTATACTGTATGGGTTAAGAATATTGTAAATACTGTGTATTTGTGTGATTTATATTACTATGTTTAACAGTCGCCTTTTGATTTGATTAAATCTAATTGCACAATTTGAATCAATTTGTCTTTTTTCATCACAGTGTCAACGCAATTCAATAGAAAGAGAAAACGACAATGTTCGTAGTAAATACTTCCAGTACAAATTTTCATTTCATTTTGTCTCCAACCATCATATAACCCACCATGGAAGGAACGGTGGATGGAAACGCACGCTGTTCCTGCAGTGGATTCTTTTTAAATGTAACAGAATCGAGAAAATGCACATCACTAGCCAGCGTCGAAATCGTCCCGCCCACCAGTCCGCCTACCGAAAGTCGAGATAAAACGAACTTTAATAAAAAACCTTTCCCAAAAACGTTTAGCCCTTTACAAAAACACTTTAAAGCCCGACTCGATACTTGGGCGAGGTCACTATATCAATTAAAAAAAACAAAATGACAAAAATCTATGAACTATCCAGCTTACTTTATCACAGCGTCCTATAATTTATGCCCACATACCACATATATGTGCCCACT